TGGCTATTTTTATTCAACTACTTTCAATCAATAAGAATTTGAAGTTTCCATGATAAAATCAAACAGTGTTAAAACTGTTGTTGGTCTGGGGACATAAGCTAGTCTGTGGTTACATTTTTCCTAAATTTCCATTAATTATGAATGGTCATATTCCCACGCACAGCACCTCTCACTTACCATCTGGCTTTGCACTGCTTTGCTGATTTCCTGTGCAATAATGAGGCAATTCGAGACCACTGGTTTTTGCCATATTTCATAACAGCTGCTTTCAGAATTTCATCCTTGAAAAAACCATAAATAAATACCCTTATGAACTGCAAAACAGAAAGTCTGAGCGCAAGCAAAGGAGAACATGGTAAATTTCATGGGCTGTCCCAGAGGAAGCAGCATAACACAGCGTAACACTGCTACTTCTGTTCCATTTTATTCTCAAGAAAAATGAGGATTTGTATTTCGAAGGTCAATGAAATCTGTAAGATTAAATGAAATAGACACATAAATTATTGTTCCAAACTTCATATACCTAACAGAATTTCCCAAATTATTATTTTCAATACTCTCTAATGCACTGGTGTTTAAAGGCTCTGTATGTCTTCACTGAAGGACAGCAACAGAGGTAAGGAAGTGTTTGTCTGGTAAGATATCAAAGTAGGAAAAAAAAGTAGAATTGGCAGGTATCTCTGGCTGGCTTGTTTTAAATAATACCATACAATTATCTATTTTTCACATTTTAATGCTATTGGAATAAAAATGTAATAGATTTAGCTTGCGAGCCAGGTTGTTCATAAACAACAAAATGTGCACTGAGTTTGATCAGAAGTGCCAATTCTCTGTCCATCCATCCATCCATCCATCCATCCATCAATCATTCACTTCCTCAATAGATGGGTTCATTATTTCTGGTTTATTGAGAGGAAGTGGTATTTTAAATACATTATAGCTGTTCTTACAGCCCTGTCAACCACAGATGTCCCTCTCCTATACCCAGTGAATATTCAGTGAGTCTCACACTATCTCTACTGACACCACCCAGAGAACAACAGCTTTAACTGTGAGCTTATGATCAGCTCTTGATCTGGCTTGAACTACTACAGGCAACAATTCATATGATTGTTGTTCTGAAATAAATAATAAATCCTCCCCTGTGTGTTTTTTTTTAAACTTACTTGGTGCTCTGTGGCACACAGGAGCTGTACTGGTGACATTAACAGGCTTTTTTTGCATGTAAAGGATCATTTTATGAATGACCTAGTATCACCTGATTTCCCTTTCTCTGTCTTTAATGCTGCATGTATAATCAAAATGTTAAAAAAAAAAAATAAAATCCAACACCTCTTTTATCTCTGGTATACAAAGCCTGGTGAACTGAGGATCTGCTTGGCCACTGAACAGGCTCCTCAGGGCAGTGGCTACAACCCTAAGCCTGGCAGAGCTCAAGCAGCTTTTGGACAATGCTCTCAGGCACAGGGTGGGATTGCTGGGGATGTTGTGTGCAGGAGCCAGACTTGATGGTCCTCGTGGGTCCCTTCCCACCCAGGATATTCTGTGATTCCATTTAATGCACCGTTCTTCACCAATATGTATCAAGTATGGAAGAATGGGGTGATGACAACATGAGTTTTCCTGTCCTCTGCTGACCCCAAATTTAGCTGCTTCCTGGCACATCACTGATATAGCACAGGTGTTTAAAAGCACATACTGCACATTTTATCTTCTATTACTTTTTCTTCACTGCTTCCTGGAACCACGTACATGCCTGGTGTTCACACTATGCAGTGAGAGTTCTATATTTTACAGTGCTAGGTACATCCTTTTGCTTTAAACATGCATCTAATAAAACTGACATCCTTGATTTCTCGTGTTATTGATTTCTTTTTCATGACCACTTGTGGTTCTGAAAGCTTGTGATAGCAAAATGGGAGGGGATTGCTCTTTTTTGGAACAGTAATTTCTGTACACAGGATTCTTGGGGCTGCAGATGAAGAGCCCACACACATTGACAAGAAACAGACTGAAGCTGCACCAGGGGTTTAGATTAGTTATTAGGATTTTCTTTTTTCCCCCATGGAAAGGGTGACAGGCTGCTCAGGGCAATACTGGAGTCACCATTCCTGGAAGTGATTAAAAAAACATGTGGATGTAGCACTTAAGGACAGGTTAAATGGTGTACGTGGTGGTGGTGCTGGGTTGATGGTGGACACTTGGTGTTCTTAGGCCTTTTCCAATCCTAAAAATTGTATGACTCTGCCTTTGCCATTTTCGTATTTTTCAATATCTTTAAGGGCAAGAGATTCCTGCTGCTTCATTCCCACGGAGCACAAGGAACGTGCCCATGTAGCACAAGTCACACTCTAGCCTGCGAGCAGGACATCTCCAAGCACTGCACAGCCTCTGCTTCCTCTCCAGTGGCAGTGGGAACAGTTTCTCTGGGGCATAAGGACACAACACACACGTGGCTGAGCTTCCCAATCTGGTGAACATCCCAGTGAAAAACAACACCAATGTGAACTTGTGACCTTTGCCCGCTGAAGCAGCAGGAAGAAGGCACAGGTTACTGGGGAATGCAGCCCAACAGAGAGCCAAGGGATCACAGAATCGGTTAGGTTGGAAAAGGCCTCTCAGATCACTGAGCTTAATCAACATCTGATCACCACCATGTCAATGAGACCGCAGCATTCAGTGCCACATCTAGCCTTTCCTTAAACTAGAAGAACTTAACTTTCAGAGACAGTGACTCCATCAGCTCCCTGGGCAGCTCATTCCAATACTTAATCACCCTTTCCTATGAAGAAATTCTTCCTAACGTCCAACCTAAACCTCTCCTGGTGCACTTTGAGGCCATGTCCTCTTGTCCTGTTGCCTAGGAGCAGAGCCTGACCCCCATCCAGCTGCGCCCTCCTGTCGGGGAGTTGTGGAGAGGCAGAAGACCCATCTCTGAGCCTCCTTTTTTGCAGGCTGAGTCCCTCCAGCTCCCTCAGCTGTCCCTCATCAGCCCTGTGCTCCGTTCCCTTCGCTGCACCGGCTCCTGCCGAGCCCAGACCCGCCGCTGTCCGGCCGCAGCAGCCCCGAACCCCCGCGCAGGCGCACCACGACACCGCCCCCTCCCGCGCCTGCGCACCAGCGAGGGCTCCCCCCAACCCCCCACCTGCCCGGCCCTGAGGGGGGACGAGGGCTCGAACCCCGCCGAGTCTCACCTCGGTGTTCCGCCACACGCCGCCTTTAATCATAATCCGCGGCATCTTGGCGGCGAAGGGAGGCGGGGACGAACCCCTGGAGCGAGAGAATGGAGAGGGGGCGGGAGCGCCACTGGCGTCAGCGGGGCCGGCCGAGACGGCGCACGGTCGCCCTCAGCGGCGGCGGGTGCCGAGGGTGAGGGAAGCGAGGCCAGCTGTCAGAAAAGCTGCTCTGTCAGAAAAGCCGGGAGCGGGTCCGGCGGCTTTCCCAGGGAAGCGGGACTGGCGGCTTTTCCAAGGGAAGTGAGGCCGCTACTCCTCCAGGGAAGCGGGTCCGGCCGCTCCGCGCATGCGCAGCCCCCGCGTGTCCTGAGGCGGCGCTTCGCGCTAGCGCCCCCTGCCGGCCGGAGGAGCACACGGCGGAGGAGCCCGCCCTTCATGAAACTCTTCAAATTCTCTCTTCAAGGGACGCAGATGAGGGAGGAAAGGGACAGCGGAAGGAAATCACATCTCCCCAGTGTTCCCAAGGTATTTTTTTAATTTCAGGAAAAAGCCCCATGCTTTTTCCTGAAATTAATAAATTCTTGGTTGTGAGGGTGGTGAGGCCTTGGCAAAGGCTGCCCAGAGAAGCTGTGGCTGCCCCATCCCTGATGTTGCCCAAGACCAGGTTGGACAGGGCTTGGAACAACCTGGTATCATGGAAGTTGTCCCTGCCCATGGCAAGGGGTGGAACGAGATAATCTTTAAGGTGGCAATGCAAAACTATTCTACGATTCTACAAGAGAGCAACACTGATGGTGCATTTGCATGTTAACACTCACATACACACTAAAGGAATGTATACAAGGTACATACCTGAATTTGGGGAATTTTCATAGCTAGGTACTCATGTCACTCAACAGGTGAAGGGCTGAGTCTCAAGGAGTGGGGATCTCGGCTCAGGATCTGTCACTGTCCCTCGGCTGTGGCCTTCCAGGCATCTCCAGCCTGGGAGCTGTGTGGCTCAGAGGCCCCACTCAATGGGAAGCGCTGCTCCCAGCCTCCTGCAGTCTGGAGGGCTCAGAGGCTCTCAAATATCACTGCTTAGAGAGTCACAACAGACTTGGCTTTGCTCATAGCAATTTTCCACCCTGGCTGCAATTCAGATTGGTAACTTTCTCTGAAAGTTCAAAACCAAAAACGTTGTTCCACCTGGGTGGTTATTCGGGGAAGAAAAGTAAGTTCCCAAAGGCTCTTGAAACTCAGGGAGCACCCTAGCCAGCACAAGCTCCTGGGAGCAGACAGTGTTTTGGATAAGCTCAAGAGGAGTTTGGCTCAGCTTGTCAAGGCCAAGCCCTAATGAGCATTTCTGAGACCACAGTGTGGCCCAAACAGGAGGATGCACCACCACACCATACAGGTCTGACCCACTATTGTTCATTTACATCACCTCCAGTTTAACTTGTATTCATATAATTAGCAGATGCACAGCAGGTGAAATGACAGCCTTTTACTCAGTTTGTCTTGTTACATTTCCCTGTTTTGTCCAAATTCAGGATATGTTCATGGAGAACATTATGAAACTTTTTTGGTTTAAATAGGAAACTTCATAGTATGATTTAGGAAAGGTTTTGATTTTTGTTTAAACTGCAGGAATAAAAAATAGTACACTTCTAGCTACCAAAAAAAAACCCAAAAACCCAAAAAAACCAACAACAACAGCCCATGTCTTCTTTGAAACTGAATATGCCTCAACCTGTAAATTTCACTGACTTAGCAGACTGAGAATACCTTTGAAACCCCAAAAATCCAATGCAGTGCATAAGGAACAGAAAGCAACATCAGGAGTCATTGAATTGCTTATTTTTATTAGAGGCAGTGACTAGGAATAATTACTTTTATAAAATCAATCTCTAACTAAAAATACCTTATTGTTATTACTTAAATCTTGAAGTAACTCAGATTTACAAACTCTTTCAAAAATTTACTGCAGTTAATTTATCCCCCAAACCAGGCTCTTCTCATCATCATTGTACACTATGCTTTTAAATGACAGTGCTCAATCAGATTTAGCCCTTCTAGTCTCATCTGATATACAGGTTTACAATTCTTTCAGTATTTTTGTTTTCTCTTTGTACCTGCCCTTTTCAAATAAATTATCAGAATTGTAATGTAACGCAGGTAAAACCACCTCCAAATTTGAGTAATCATTAAGATATCCCAGAAATGCTTTTCTTTCTTAATACAGGATAACATTCTTCTTTCTCACAACTGGATAAGGTAGCTCCAAGGTTTAAATCACTTATCTGTAACCACCATGGTTCAGGCACAGATACTTGTCTGACTTTACTGAAAGTGCAAAGAACTGGATCACTTGAACATCTTTGCTGATCTGGCCTTAAATACATTCATCTGTCCATGAGTTTCAGTCCATTATTGAAAAATTGCCTTCCAAATTGCAGAATGGCTGCAGGGGTTCTGGAAGACCCTAGAAGATGCGCTGTTCAGGAAATTAATCTAAAAGGAAAGTCTAAACATACAGGCAAGATTCATATATACTATCCTGCAAGGATTATTCATGTATTTGGAAAGAATGCTGTAGCTGTTCTCATTTACAATATTTAGTATGCTTGACAGATATTTGCAATTCAGAGTATATAAGTGAAACAGAGAAAAAATTTAACAGGCTAGAAATCCATTTGGATTTAGGTAAAATGTGCAGCTTTAAATTATTAGTAGCCTTGCTAGCATAATTAAAATATGCTGTTTAGTCTGGCAGCTCTGCAGCACTAGTAAAAACTGCCTCAGCTGAGGAGAAAGAATGTGAATTTCCAAGCTGAAGAGATGAGAGGCTCCTCAAACTTTGAAACAGACAAGGCAGATTGACCCAAGAGTTCTTTCTGTACTTTCTGATTTTAAAAAATAGCTGCAAGGGTAACTAACTGCAAGAGTAATGCAAAAATCAGTAGAATGAATATACATAAACCTTTGTTGAAATTCTATGCATATGTAAACTAGTAAAGAAGAATAAAAAGGGATTTAGAGTTCTCAAGGGCACACATGTCCTTTGAAGGGGAACGATCCCCATGATGCAGTAACACCACCAACTTTACAACCTTTACAAGTTGTGAAGTTGGAGCTTTTATGCCAATTCATAAGTTTATCAATGTATGTATAGACATGCATGGAAATATACACACATTCTACTACAGGATTCTGTAATCCCAGACACCCAGAGCTGGCTGTCCAGGACTACATCCAGATGGCTTTTCAATACCTGAAAAGAAGGGAACTCCACTGCATCTCTGGGCAGCCCTTCCCAACCTGTCTCCTATGATACCAGAAAGCCTCTACAAGACATTATCTGTATTTAGACACACATCCAGAAGCAGGAAAAAAAAAAAAAAAAAAGCACTGAATCCCATACTTACATTCACTCTAAATTAAACCACAGGTTTGTTCTGCTGCTCCATGGACTGAGCTGTAGCATTGGGACAGTTTGCACCAGGCCTTTGCTGCTTTATTTCCTCACACAAGGGGATGACACACTGTTAATAAAACCACTTACCACACTCAAGAGTTCCTAGCACTGCATAACTCCAAAACAAACAAAGATTTGTCTAGATTTGAATATAAATTGGAAGCAGCATCTATCTGGGTTAACCATACACTGGACCAACTGCTGCGTAGTGTACTAGCTCTTATACACTGTATTTTAGACTAAGAGTAAAGTTCTTAAAATAATTTTAGTTCCAGATATTGCTAAGGTTTTAAATGAAACTAATCAGTATTCACAATTATCAGCAACTGCTAATTGAAGTTATTTGAAAAGCATATAATTTAACAATAACAACCAAGACAGTAACTACCAACCTGAGAAAAGGTAAGGCATTTCATACTAGATTTACACTGGACATTCACATAAAATTGAAGATTTAAAGATTCCCAGTATCATAAAATAGATGTTTCTGGACACTGCCATTTCTGTCAGATTACTCAAAAAATTATCAAAATTACAGACAAGGTAACAGCTTAATAAACATCTTATACATACAGATACATGTAAAACATTTTACTGTCATTTTTACCCAATGATGACATGCATATTTTGTTTTTGTAATTTGGAGAGATACTATTTTTTTCCTCTTACAAGTATTGCATAAGCACCTGGGAGTAAAGGAGGCAACTTTCAGCAGATGGGAGGTAGCATTTAGCCTCCAGATACACTGATAATTTTTACATGAAAAGTTATTACTACAAAATATAACATGCTTTTCCTTCCCTCCCGTTACACATTCTTTCAGTTAGAAAATAGTTTTTCTTATTAAATTTTTACAAGAAAATAAGTGGTGCAGAATAACTCCTTAAACACAGATGAGCACTGGCCAAAATAACTGACCTCTACTGAAGCAGTTACTCAGGGATGAAAAAGTGTCTCCAAGATCTTCAGCACAGCCTGTGCTAGAATTGATGTTCCCACAAACACCTGCAGCAAACCAGTACCCCAGGTTTCACTCTCTTGACCAAAATGCTGGATGCATCCATTACCAACCACTGTTCTGGGCACAGCAAAGGAACATAAAGCCATGAAGAAATTCAGGACATGCAAACCTGTCCAAAACCAAGCACCAACTTCCAATTCTCAACCTGATATCCCAACCTTGTGCTGCTGCTTATGCTTCTCCATCAGTTTTTTGGTGGGCAGCACTACATTACACTTTGCACACCTGTACTTCTTTTTGTGTGTTTTTATGTGCTTTTGGAAAGCGTGTTTATCCACCGTGGAATACCTGCACCTCCTGCAGTGCAGCTTGAGGTGGGTCAGGAAGTGGCGCTTGAGGTGGCTGGAGGTGCGGAAAGCCAGGGAGCACTGCCCGCACTGGAACGGCTTCTCCCCCGTGTGGATCCTCATGTGGAGCTTCAGGTTCCCATTGTGGGCTGTGCAATAGCCACACTCCTCACACCTGTATGTCTTGACAGGCAGCTCCTGGTGCTCGTAGAGGCAGCCAGGAGAGGAGCTTCCCTCCCCGGTGTGCGAAGCCAGGTGCCGCTTCAAGGACAGCCATTTGTTGGTTGAGTAGTCACAGCTCATGCACTTGAAATGCCCCAAGTTCAAATGTGTGAGTCTGTGCCTTTTGAGGTGACTGGAAGTACGGAACTTCTTCTGACAAATGGGACAGCTGTAGGGCTTCTCACCTGTGTGAGTTCTGACGTGGAGCTCCAGGTTGCTTAAAATGCCAGTAGCGTAGTTGCACTCTGCACACTGATATAATAGTGGCTGATTTCGTGCTCGCACGTCATTTGCTGTGCCCCTCTGAACACCCTGCTGAACTCCCCAAACCTCTGAACCAAGCAAGGAGCTGTTTAAGCCTTTGCAGGAATCAAAATCCCTTTCTGGATATGTGCCTCTCTGGATTTCACGATGCAGTTCAAGATTCTCTAAACACCTCTCTACAAAGAGGCAACTTCCAAACTCCTGTCCATTTTTCACATGAAGAAGGCTGTGTTTCTGCAAATGGTTTGATGTTTTAAACGTCTCATTGCACTCTTTACAAACGAATGGTCTTTCATCCGTATGTATCTTCAGGTGCAACCTGAAGTTGTTAGGAACAGCAGTAGTGTAACTGCAGTGCTGGCATCTGTATGTTTGGAATGTATTTAAATTAGAAGGATCTGTATCCTCCAAGTTTTCCACAAAGTTATGAAATGAAGCATCATCTTGCACTTGTGAATGAGAGGTCTCTGATTTGAAGAAAGGCTCTTCTTTGTAAGTGACAGCGTCCATTCGGTAAGAGGTCTGAGGAACTTCTGATTTACTTCCAGTAGTAGCCAGGCTGTTGCTTCCTTGGCTGTTTTCAAGGAATTTCTTTCCAAAGTATATTTTCTTATTGTCCCACACATCATCTGCTTGCTCAAACTCCACTTCTGAAGCCAGGATTCCCCCACCCAGACAATCATTTTCTGTATCAAAAAGAGAGTGAGAAACATGGCCCTGAGAACCACCATCAGCTTTGCTTGTTTTGCTTTTACAGTATTTCTTGCTCTGATTCGTGTAACCATTAGCCTTAAACTGTTCATGAAATTTCTTGTGAAAGCTGAGATGTCCTTTAGTGTAGAACACCAGGTTACATTCATTACATGGGTAGGTCTTTGGAGGAATTTCAGTTCTCTTTCTCCTACTCAGGCAGTCAGGTTGCTGTGCTTGGCACCTTTCCGTCCTTGAATGTGTCCTCCTGTGTCTCTCCAAGCCTGAGGTGCTGGTGAATGCCACCTGGCAGAGCTCACAGCAATATGGTGTATCCCCTGTGTGGATGTGGCTGTGCCTCACCATGCTTGCAAAATACAGTGAAAAAAAGGTGCAGAACCTGCACTGGTAGAGCTTATAGCCAGCATGCCAGTACATGTGATTTAACAGGTAGGAGAAGCTGCTGCAGGAGTAATCACACTGAGGGCACTGGTAAGGTGGTCTCTCCTTGTGTCCCTTCATGTGATGAATAAAACTCCTAGGACTGGATGAAACAAAGAAACAAATTCTGCAGGAAAAGCTAACTGGCACATCCAGAGGTGTAAAGTCCCTTTCAATTTTAATGAAAAATTTCTTGTATTTACTTTCTTTTTTCTTGGTCTCAGATTCTCCTTCAGATCCTTTCTGCCTCCCTTTTCTTGCACTTATTCTATTTTTTCTTGCCTTTTGCAACCTAGCAATCTTCTTATGAAATTTAAGGTGATTCTTAAGATTGAAAGAAAAGAAAAAAGTTTTTTTACAAAAGCAGCATTTATGTATTTTCTTATCTTTATGAGCTGAATAAGTATGTTTCTTTAGGTGCGCGCTGTATTTAAACACAGAACTACAAAATCTGCACTTGAAACTCAATCTTTCATTCTCCTTTGTCAAACAAGATCTTTTAGGAAGAGGTGTGATGGTCACGCTATCATTCCTCAATGTTAAACCTTCTTGATGGCTCTGGAACTCTTTTGGGCTTGCATGAGAAGAAACAGCTTCTTGTTGCTGGTATCTTTTCTTAGAGAATGGTGTTAACATCTTGTAAATATGCTCTCCAGTAGTATTTGATTCAGCAGAAGTAGAAGCATTCATGTCAGGTTTCCCTAGATCTTCTATATGTTCATTTAAAGTAGGAGAACATCCATTAAGATATGGATCAGAACCATTATAGGTAAATTTCTCTTCTTCTTTCAAGCCATGTTCCAAAAGAGAACTCAGAGTTTCATCTTCAAATTTGCTTATTTTCCTGTAATCAATTTCATTATCTCCATTCTTTGAGGAATCAGGATCTACAAGGAGATAGAAAAAGTCACATTTCATACAATCACAAATATTAATGATTAACTCATAGTAATAATCCCAAATTGCCTAATTATTTGCTTGCTCTTCATTACTTCTGCTTCCTTATTACTTCCCTCTCTCCATTTTTTCCCCTAATGCCTCTCCTCATGCTCCCCTCTGCCCCCAACATTGAAATTTTGTTCCTAGTTAGAAGCCACCTTCTCTCCTACTTTCTATTTTAACTCAAGACTCTGAATTTCACAGGACAACACCACACCCAGTTTTTAACAGAACACCTTTATGCCAGAATGCCTGTCAAAGTACTAACACCAAAATTTTCTAATGCTCCATTCTCATAAATATCACGTTTTTTCTGCATTTTTATTTTGAGAACATTTCCCTACTCAAGGCCACCCTTTTTCTCATTGGAGGAGAATGAAAAAGTACCAACATTTTGTAGTTTCACTGCCTTTCTCAGGAGTCTGTTAAAGAACTGATCATACTCCAGGCAATATTTTCCTTCTGTTGCATTTATGAATCGAATTTGAAATGCTTACTCTAAAAGAAATTAGTTTCATAGCATTTCTATACATTTTTTTATTTCAAAAGCTTAAGGTTTACTGTATTTCTTAAACTCTTGCAATAATTTTATTAACATATTACCTTCCATTTTAACAATTATCTCAAATTCCTTGTGGATTTCTGGTTGTTTGTGTGGACTGCTATCAAAAACAACACTTGCAATACTGACAGGTTCTTCTTCATGTTTGGGTACCACCACCAGTGTCTCCAAAGTGTCAGCTCTGTCGCTGTCAGCAGAGGAGAGGAGAGGAGGAATCTTCTGAAAGCCATCATTATCACCGCAATCTTCTCCATCACTGTATTTCACTATCTCTGGAAGCTCTGTTTTGCAAGACGATGTAGGTAACATGCAATTTTGACCATATTTATCCGTGTCTGCATCACACCCATCACTTAAAGATAATTTTGATGTGTTACACACACTCTCAGCAAACCATTTCTCCTCAGAGTACTTAATACAGTTATCTTCATTTGAAACAGTCTTGTTTGCATCCCAATTGCCTACACTGCTGCTGTCGTTTGAAGGTTCCACTTCATTTTTTAGGCAAAGGCTGTTGTTTAATTTCAACTCCTGCTCCACCTCGGGAACGGACACTTCCTGATCCTTATCATCGTCCTGGAAAAAATCCTCATCGCTCAGCACCAGGACAGTGATTGGCAGCACAGTCTCAAACACCTCGGGCTCTGCGAGGGGAAAGAGACACAATTATGGCAATTCCCCAAAAAACCCCAAACACCTGACAGCACCGCGTCCGCCATAACGCAGACGCGCGCCCAGTGCGCATGCGCGCGCCCGGCGGGCTCGCCGATTCGCCTCGTCCTCGCCCTTCCCGCTTTCCGCGGCCCCTCGGCCCCGCCGCTCCCAGAGCCGCGCTGGGTCCGGCCCGGCCCGGCCCGGCCCGGCCCGCGGGCACTCACCGCTGTCTGCGGCCGGCTGCGGGATTCCCCCCGGGGCCGGCTGCGCCACTGCCGGCTCCATCGGCATCTCCGCGCCGCCGCCCGCGGGCTCGAACCTGCGGCCGGGCGCGCCTGCGCAGCGCGGCGGGGGCGGTGCCGCCCGCGCCTTCTGGTTCGGGAGAGAGGCGGGGACGCCGTCTGAGGGATGGGTGGGAGCCTGAGATCCGAGGCTTTCAAATATGCGGTAAAGTTCAGTTTTAATGTGCTCATAAGTGGTTTAGAGACTCGGTTTAATAACCCACCTGGGCCAGGGAGCCCCCAGTCCTGGGCAGAATTATTCGAATGCTCCGCGAAACCTATTTCCGGTTTAAGCAATTTTAATCGGTTGTTACCTCTTTTCCTGTAAAATTAGATTTCAGCTAATATCTCAGATGTGAAAAACACCAATTACTCGTTTTTTAAAATTTTAAAAGTTTAATAATAAAATGGTTATAAAATAATAATACAATTAGAGTAATAAAATTTAGAGTTAGGACAATTACAAGACAATAAAAAGCAAAGAATTATGGATGTCCGGATGCTCTTGGACACTAGGTCACAAAAAGCATGTTTTCTGAACAAAGGAATAACCCTTAATAAACTATACACTGTTGCTAATTCATACATACTTCATGGTTATGCATACATTCTATTTAAAATAAGGCACTCTGGAGTATGTCAACTCCTTTTAATCCCTACGGTGTCTTCAAGTCTGAGCAAGGCCTGAAGAAATTAGCTTCTTCTGATAAGAGAACCATAAATTCCTCCTCTCTGGAAGATTTAGGTGTTCTGGGACTGTTATCTTGAAGTGAGTATCTCATTCTTTAAAAAAAAAACAACACATACATTGTTTTTAACTACAAAACTACATTTACCATACTATTAAAATGTTAATACAGCACTTCTAATCAATATAACATAATATATTTAGTATTAAATTTAATATTTGCAAAAAGCCAATCATAAAATATGCATTTTTCACATCAGATCATACTCTTAAGATCAGAATTGTGCCAACAAGAAGGCGCTCCCTTGCTGGATACAGAAAGAATCACAAAATAATCACAGGAAGGAGTCACAAAATTCATGGAAACATAAAACAGCACCTTTGGTTTCATCCTGTTCTCCTTGGCTGTTCAGACTGAAAGTGGAAAATACATGAATCTGTGTGCATGCATTATAGAGATGTAGGTCTTTAGATACATATGTAAAGTTATATACATGCAGAGTGTCCCTGCCTGTTACAGGGTGGTTGGAATGAGATGGTCTATGGGGTCCCTTCCAATAAAAACCATTCTGTAATTCTGTGAGTTGGGGCTGGAAGGGAGATCTGGAGATATCCAGTCCAAGTTCAAACCCTCTGGCAAGGCAGGGTCACCTGGAGCAGCTGACATAGGAACGTGTCCAGGTGGGTCTGGAATGTCTCCAGAGAAGGACAATCCACAAAATCCTTGGGCAGCCTGCTCCAGTGCTCTGTCACCCTCAACGTCAAGAAGCTCTTCCTCATGTCTAGGTGGAACTTGTGTTTAATTTTATTGCCACTTCTCCTTGTCCTGTTGCAGGGCACCACTGTAAAGAGCCTGGCACCATCCTCCTGGCACCTGTCTTGGAGATGCACAGATCATTGAGATCCCCTCTCAATCCTCTCTTCTTCAGATTAACCAGGCCCAGTTGCTGCAGTCTCTCCTCATGAGAGATGCTCCAGAGACCTCATCATCTCTGTGACCTCTCCAGTAGCTCCTTGTCCTGCCATCGCAGGGTTCTCCCCAGCTCCCAGCACCCTGACATTATTTTATCCCCACCCCCAGCTGTGATCCCACATTCTGCACTGCTAGAGGATTCCCAGTTTTCATTTTCCAGGCTCTGCACTCTGTAGTGGTGTCTCCAGAAGAGGATGGAACGTTTAGCCACTCCAATGAGAGGGATTTTCCTTATTCCCTGTCTTCTTCCCCCAGTAAAAATCATGGAACCGATTATCTGCCTTAATTTCACAGCCTTGCACTTCTTGTATATGGAGCTGCACCCATATGTAGGAACATTTGTTCAGTTTGTGAAATTTAGGTGGCATCTTTTTATTTTCAAGTAGAACTGATGAAACCTTGAGGGAGGAGCATTTCCAAAATCCTCCTAACTGGGAGTATTAAACTAGGAATAGGTGAGAGGAATATTGGCTTCTGTGTTTCAGCACTGAGGGAGTTTGGGAATCTCTACAGAGTGAGAAGACTTGATACTCCAAGGTGAGTGAAACAGATGCTGGGGTGAGCAGCATGTCTTGCATGGACTTTTGACTGCCTGAACAAGCCACAGCAGGTGAAAAAACAAAATTAAGAAATTCTCCTCCTGGTAGAACTGTCTGAGTCTTCCCCACAAGATGGCTCTGCAGCCATAGGCTCTGCAAGGGAAGAACCTGGAAATACTGGTTATTTCTCTTTTTTTAAAAGCATTAACTTTAAATTAATCTCCTTTGAAAGATATCTCCCTCACTAGAAAAGCTGCAAAATTCTGTGAAAATTTTACAAAGACATTAATCCAAGTCTTTTTTCTCAAAAGTGGCTCTTTCTACTCTTTTTCTTAAGGGAAGAGACTATACTCTCAGCCTAGTGCTTCATGATGCCATCATGCAGTGAACAAAGTGCCATGAAATGGCTGAGGAATGAATCTGGTCAGTCTGGCCTTCATCTTCTTCATTACAAGCCCTTTGCACAAAACCATGTTTTGCAAATTCAGCTTGCAATGGAGTGATCTGAACCTGCTTGCAACTGTGCTTGTGCCCACACTCCAACATGAAAAAAAGTTGTGGAAAGTATCTTGTAAGGAATAGCATGGGGGAAAATGGCTTTAAGATGAAAGAGGGTGGATTTAGAATGGGTATTAGGGAAAAAAAATGATTCCCTCTAATGGTGGTGAGGCTCTGGCAGAGGTTGCCCAGAAAAGCCCCATCTCTGGAGGTGTTCCAGACCAGGCTGGACAGGGCTTGGAGTAACCTGCTCTAGTAGAAGAAGTCACTGCCCATGGGAATGAGATGATACTTAAGGTTTCTTCCAACCCAAAACATTCTGTGATTATGTGAAATATTAGATACTATGAAAAATTGAAGCAACTTCAATAAATTGTGATTATTTAAAGTGTGTATTTTTGGCATCTTTATGGCCAGAATGGTAGCAGAGAATTACCTCAACTAACATAAGATATTGACCTAAAAAGTGTAACTTGAGACTGTAGTCACGTTAGGCTGCAAGTGACTTTTATCCTCTTGCATTTAATCCTGTAGGTTGGAAGGGCCTGTGCCAGTAATTTTGTAAGATCTTGAATCAATATCCTTCGTTTTACGTGCCAGGGCACATAACAAAAAGTCAAGCTGGAAATATTGAAAAAAAAAAAGCCTGAAAGTTGAGGGATAAAAGATAGTGTCACTTTTAGACCTGGGAGAATCAGAGAATTGTTCCTGGGAAACTTATATTGTGTAGCTGCATAATGTAAGTGCATATGATCTGGCGATAAGAGAAGTGGTAGCTGAATACAAATCCAGCTGGAAAAGCATAGAAAATGGTCTGGATAAGTTGCAAATGAAGTTATTGCTCAATATCAGCTAATATAAAGAGGGAAATGTCTCCAGAAGGATTGCTCAGCCCAGTGTCAGCTGTATTAGGACTGCGAACTACAGGGACTGGGAGATTTTAACAGCCCAGATGTTGCAGTAACAAATCAAGGCTTAGTAACTAAATAAATTCATTCTTTTACTGTAAAACCTGCTGGTTAGTTTTTCTCACACTGCCATTGACTCTAACTTTTTTTTTTTTTTTTTTTTTTTTGTCTCTTTTTGAAAACAGCTCCACTGAAGTCTGTTCCAGAGGGAAGAGAAGAAAACACATCAGTGAGGACAAAGAGCTGAGCAGCACTTAGGCACAGATCCTTCTCACACCAAATGCCCACAGAGAGCTGCAGCTGAGGATTGAGTCACACAAAATCCCACCACATTCTGCTTTCCAATACCTTCTGCCCCAAGCAGATCTCCTTATCACTAAGTTCACCTTGAACTTGTAGAACCTGCAAGACTAGGAAAAATATTCAGTCTTATGGTTAGGGCCCAGAAGCCAGGAAGTTTATTTCCATTCCCATTTTTTCTTCAGGTTTGTGAAAATTCCTATTGTTTGCAGAGTGTTTCAAGCTCTTCACATTGCTATAAGAGAACAGAGCACTGCTCTTACATGTTTTCAGCTCTCAGTGTTGGAAGCTGTGTTTGATTTATTGCCATACACAGAATTTTCCTTAATATGGAGACAAATATATCTAAGGTAGAACTCAGGAAAACATGGAAATACAGAGTCTTTTCTCTGGGAAACTGAGCATGGTCCATTCCACTGATTTTTTTTTTTTTAACAGAGCAAGGCAAAGGTGCCTCACTTCAAAGAGAGAACATTCTATTTACATTTAACTGGATGTTAATTGATTGTTTACCTGTTTTTTCACATGGTTTTTCCATTAAATTCTTCCCTATGAGGGTGGTGAGGCCCTGGCACAGATTGCCCAAAGAAGCTGTGGCTGCCCCATCCCTGGAAGTGTCCAAGGCCAGGCTGGACAGGGCTTGAAGAAACCTGGGGTAGTGGAAGGTGTCCCTGCCCATGCTGGGGGCTGAAATGAGATGAACTTTCAAGTCCCTTCAACCCAAACCATTTATGACTCTATGATTTTGTGTGGCAGGGCTTTTCTGCAGGTTGGAGGTCTTTTGGTGTGATCTGGTCATGTCCTGTTGTGAATTCCTGTTACCCCCCCGAAGTGGGTCATTAGGGACATCTTCCACTTGCCAGGTGACTCTGACTTGGATCCAGGAAAACAAAAATTTCCAGGTTCAGTTTAGGAGTTAGCGTGGGCCGGGGCTAATTTCCCAGAATAGAAATAAACAGAAGGAATGAGCAGATAAGATTAATGCCTGTACAAAATCAGATGAGAACCTCTGGCACTCATGATGCCATCTAGAAAGATGCAAGTAACTTTTTGTTTGTGTGTTTCAAAAGATTTCTTGAAAAGCCCCCCCAGACCTGAACTATATGGTGATCAGATGTAGTTTATGGAATTATAGTCAGTGTAGTTACTTGTCTGCAGCTGGAAGGAGTCTTTCAGCTAAAAGCAAAATAGATGCATGGTCTTTCAACTGATTTTCAACTTTGTTTTGTATTCTGCAT